GCCATTCTAGCTAGGACGGTCAAAGAAGGCCTGCCTTCCAGCAGAGCCATTTGAGCAAAGTCCCAGCCTGCAGGCCCTTAACCTTCAGCCCCTTTTCTAATCTTTGCTGCTGTCAAAAGGAAGCCTTTATATCTCACCTTGCGACGGGTATGTTCTGAATCCAGTGCATCTCTCAGCCCCTGAAAATCCGGGGGATTGAGTGGGGGCCCTGACCGAAGGCTGGTGTAGCGGGGAAACAAGTCCTCCAGGGCTTGGGCTGAGCTAGATGGAGATAAGTCGCGCAGGGGCCGGGTGCTGAGCAAATCAGGTAGAGAATATTAGGGGTGGGAAAGCTTTTGAGATCCACTAGTCCAACTGTGACATTTTACAAATGAGGAAACTGAAACTCAGGGCAGGAGACTTGCCCAAAGTTACAAAGCTAGGTAGATAAGAGATAGAGCCATAGATAGCACGCAGGTTCTGTGATTCACTCTATAGTGCTCCTTCATCTATTCCACACTCCCTGCAGTACAAGTTTCAGCAGAAACAAACTAGCTCTTCTGCAGGAAGAAGGACTAGAAGTTGGGAGAGAGCCAGGTACTAAGCAGCAGATGCCCACGTTCCCAAAGGAGGAAAGGGGATAGAAGAAAGGAGAGAAAGGATGAAAACTGAAAGCTAAGTGACAAGCATCTTAGGTCCTTAAGAGATACAAAAGCAGTAAAGGGAGAACTAAACACTAGAACACTTGGCTTTCCAAGAAAGGAAGTCAGCTAGGAGAACCCCAAGGAAAACTCACTTAAGTAAGGTGGCTGTGCTGTCACTGTCAAAGGAGTCCTCTTCCCGTCTCTCTGAGCCGGCACCTGGAGTAGCGGACTCCTCTGTGGGCAGCCAGAGAGGCCCACAGCCAGGGTCAGGTAAGGACAGGAACAGGGACCACTTGAAGAAGAGGTCCTTCCTTTCTACTTCACCCACTCCTCCTGCCCTCTCCCAAAGAACGGGAACCTTTCCTCCAGAAATCTCTTATCTCCGAGGTCTAGGTCGCCTCCCCCCACACACCCTGCTTCCTTTCTCCACTTTTTCCCACCCCTTAAATCTAGGTTCTCCTTCACAGGGAAGGGGTTTACTCACGATAGGCCGTATCTCGTGAGGTTTGGAGCATGCTCTGGAGTTGACCCCGAACACTTTCCATCTCAAAGATATGCTTGGAACCATCCTAGAAAAAGCAACATGGAAATCAGATGCAATAATCCATGATCTACCTACTGTCAGGGCAGACGGCATCCAGTAGCCCCTAAGGCCCAAGAATTTTTACTCTCACACCTGGGAAAACAAGAAAAATAGGACTGACCTAGTAAGAAACTCAAATGTCTACAGAAGCCAGAGAGGTAATGTAAATGAATTAATTGGGCACCTTAAGACAAGAGTAGTGAGGATTCTTGCCAACTAGAGAGCAAACATCCTGTCTAAAGACTCTGTAGTCCATGGCTATCAGTTTTTCAAACTCTGGGCGGCCTAACCAGTCTGCAGATTGGTTATGATACTTGCTCTATCTGACACTATCTATAACATGTATAATTGATTAAACTGTGTTTTAATGATTTACATGCCAAATTTTGAACCATATGATCAAAATAGTTTTGAGCTGGAAGGATCTCAGCATATTTTCCTTAAGTCCCTAGTTCCCTCTTGGGATGAAGAAACGTTATCCTCACTCCCAGCACCCACATCCCAGTCAAAGCACAGCTACCTATCCCACATGTGTCTCTGAAGGAAAAAAAAAAAAAAAAAAGAGCTAGTAGTTTCACAACTTTCCAAATTATGGTGGCCCAGGCCACTCTCTCCCTCATAAACATTTGTTCCCAGGAACAAGCATGACTGACTGTGTAGTTAAAAGGAATTTGGAATCCAACAATAGGAGTTCAAGTCTCAGTAAAGCTATTTTTTTTTTTTACCACCCCCGATCCCAAGACCCTAGAGGTTTCCAAGACACACCTCCCTCACCTTCTTCTTCAAGTTGTTCTCCAATCCAACCGACAAGCTGTGACTCAGTTCTTGGGCCAAGCCATCTAACACCTCATGAGGAGGTGGGAAGGTGGCGGGCAAAAACAGCTGGGCTCGGGCTGTGCTCTCTGCCTGACGACTGAGGTGCAAAGAAGTATACAGCTGGGAGGTCACCTCAGAGGATGCTTGGTTCAGCCCAGGGGCTTCTGATGAATCACTCAGGAGATCCTTGGCCCGGAGAGGTGAACTGGGGCTGGTAGCTGATGTTGCCATGAGTACAGGGAAGAGACAACTGGAGACAGCAGAGCTGGGAACTCCTGGTTCTGCTTTAGGAGAGCACAGGGGGAAAGTACCCCGAGAAGGAAGATTTGGGAGAAAGGAGGAAGACTCCAAGTGAAGGATTCTTGTTGAATGAGGGCATGGAGCCTTTCTGGTTAGAGGAAAGGTTTCCAACGGTTCCAGAGGCCATGCGAGAGGGCAAAAGGATTTCTTTCCACAGCTCCTGGTAACAGTGGAAAAGGAGGGTGCAGCAAGGAGAGGGTGGGGACAGAAGACCTGCTGCAGTTCCTCTGGAGCACTGAAAGCTGCAGATCAACTTCTGGCACAGGCTATCACTGGTCAACTGAGCTCTTAAGTTTTCACACCCAGAACGTGCAAACTGAAACGGACCCAAATCCAAAAGAGGCCTAATTTCCGTCCAGCTGCCTTATTTGCCCCTCAACTGGCTGTGGTCTCAGAGGGGCAGGAACCTCATGCTCCCCACCTCCCCTCTCCTCCCACTGCACTCGTTCTACCCAGGGTCAACTCTCTAGTATATCCCCTCCGATCCCGCCTGTCAAGAAAGCCATAGCAAGGTCCCTAGAATCCCTCCCTCCCTACTATCCCCAAAGAAACTTGAACACTCAGTCACGCCTTCAGACGTCCCTAAAAAGTACGCCGCGCTCAAGCCTAGCCTGAGATCCCCTACCCCGACCACCCCGTTCCAACTACTCTCCACACCTCCAGTCCTCGGCCACGCAGTCGGCCAAGGTGGGGACAAGGGTCTGCCCCCTCCCCTAAGCCCCAGTTCGGCAACACCAAGACACCCTCCTTCTCGCGCCCTTCCCTACAATCAAAACCGTTGGCAGCCTCCCGCCCACAGTCCGCAGCCCCGCCTCGCTCGCCTCGATGACGTCACCACCCCAGGACACCTTGTTTTCAGCCGCTCTCACAGCTTCTGGAGCCGGAGAGCCTGGACGCGCGTGCGCGTATCCGACGGCCACGGATTGGCTGAGAGAGGTATAGGGGCGGGGTTATTTCTCTGCAGCTAGAGCGTGTAGACCCGGTGGGGCGGGGCTCCGCGGAAACCGGAAGTATCGAGTGACGGGCACTCGGAGAAGTTCCGGTGAGTTCGCGGGAGGGGTCCCCGTCTGGTTGGAGGGATCCCGGGCTAAGAACTGGAGCCTACGGGGTGTGGGCGGTCCCGGAGTGAGGCTCACATTCTCTGCCCTGCAGATGACTGTCCACAACCTGTACCTGTTTGACCGGAATGGAGTGTGTCTGCATTACAGCGAGTGGCACCGCAAGAAGCAAGCGGGGATCCCCAAGGAGGAGGTGACGAGAGGGCCCCGCGCAACCCGGGTGACCTCACATCTCCAAATGCACATTGTCCCAGTCCAGCTTCTTCTCTCCAAACCCTGGCTCCTTCCCACCCCAACCCTGGCTCCTTTAAAAACCGAGAACTAACTCTGCCCCTCTCCCTCCAGGAGTACAAGCTGATGTACGGGATGCTCTTCTCTATCCGCTCGTTTGTCAGCAAGATGTCCCCGCTAGACATGTACGCGTAGTCAGAGGGGTTGTTGAGGGAGGGAGGGAATTTGGGGGCGGGGGAAACTTTCTGGAGTGGAAGGGGCTTTGGCCCCCAGAGAGGGTAAGGAGACAGAGAAGAGAGGCTGAGTCCGGGGCGAGAGTGCAGTAGCTGGCAGGAGCGGCGGTGGGGAAGATCTGAAGGTAGAGAGGTTGGGCAACGGGGCTAAATTGAGGGGTGAAGATGGGAGGTGTCTTTAATCAACCAGGCTCCTACAAACGACATGTTTAGAGAAGAGGGAGTCAATCTAGAGGAGATCAGAAGAATCTCTTTGGGAGAGATTTCGCTTCTATTCCTTAACATCCTCCTCATCTCTGCAGGAAGGACGGCTTCCTGGCCTTCCAAACTAGCCGTTACAAACTCCATTACTACGAGACGCCCACTGGGATCAAGGTTGTCATGAACACTGACTTGGGCGTGGGACCCATCCGAGATGTGTTGCACCACATCTACAGTGCGGTCAGTGCCAGCCCCTCGGACCCTTCCGCCAAAGCTTCAACAGCCATGGCCACTTAGAGCCCCAAGACTCCTTCAGCTTCCCTGCCCTAATCCTACTGTATTGTATCTCTATTGAAGTCAGACTTCTTGGGACCCTTTAGGTCCTTATACACTCCCACCACCAGTTTCTCCCCAAGGAGGGTTTGCCTTCCAGCCCTTGATCGCTGTGCATTCACACACCCTTGAGGTTATAGTAGGTTTGGGGTTGAAAACAAGAAGTGTTCAAAGCCTGGCTCTAACACCCTCCCCCTCCACAGCTGTACGTGGAGCTGGTGGTGAAGAATCCCCTGTGCCCGCTGGGCCAAACTGTGCAAAGTGAGCTCTTCCGCTCCCGACTGGACTCCTACGTCCGCTCTCTGCCCTTCTTCTCCGCCCGGGCTGGCTGAAGGAAGCACTCTACCTCACCCCTCAGAAGAATCCTTGTCTATCTGGGGCCCTTTGTTTCACCTGAGGGCCCCTACTGGCAGCCCCACGGCCCCAGCTCCTCCATCCCCGTCAGGCCCCTTGGCAGCCCTCCCAGGGGAACAGCTTAAAAAGCCCTCCATGGTGCCCTTCCCATGACAGGAAGGAAGCCTACTGGAGTCTCTACACCTCCAAACCAGGCCCTCTCTCCAGTTTTATCCCCTACCTGACGCTGGGAGAGAAGTACAGAATAAACTTTTTATCACCCTCTGCGACCTGAGTGTGTTAGTTTCAGTGGTCGATCGGGGCCTGCCCCTCTCATGAAGGCGTGAACCAGGGTGTTCACATCCCCTGAGCCAGCAAAGAGGCTTTGTCCACGGGTTTCTCAACAGCGGCACTATTGACGTTTGGGGCTGGATAATATCTTGGTGTGTGTGTGGGGGGGGGGGTGCTGTCGTGTACTTTGTTCTGGCCGCCACTCACTAGATGCTGGTAGCACGTCTCCATGTCTTTCTCTTTCTCTCTTTCTCTCACACGCGCGCGCGCGCACCCAGATCGTGACAGTCAACAATGTCTCCAGATCTTGCCAAACGTCCCCTAGGGGAGAAAATAGCTCACTGATTGAAAACCACTGGGTTGGGGGAAGGCCGACTGGCCTCGGGGTGCAGAGAGTAGAACCACCCTCCCGGTTCTGCTCTCCGGTTCCTGTGAGCCCACAGAACACCCAAGCTGCGGAGCTCCGGAAGGTGGGGCTTATGCAGATGAGCGGCAGGTTTTGGCTGGGAGGCGGGCGTCTTTATGCAGATGAGGGGGCGGTGTCTGCATGTTGATAAGCTGGGCCCGCAGCCGACGCGGCTGGGAGTCTATCGGGTCCCGCTGCGGTTCGGGCTGAGGTGGCATCTCTCTTCCGCCCCCCCCGTCCCTAAGTTCCTACCCTCCGAGAATAGCCCTCGACCTTTACCCTCGTCCATTTCCCCCTCTCCTCCCTGCGCCAGTACCCCCGAATCCTAATCGCTCCACTCGTGGCGCCCCCCCGCGTTTCTCCTCTCCGCCGCAAACCCCGCGACCTCCAGCAGCCCGCCCCCGCGAGCCGGATCCTGCCTGGCTGCTCCCGCCGCAACCTCCTCAGCCTTCCCGCTCTTCTAGGGCTCGCGCCACTACACCCCCGGGTGTCTCCCCTCGGGCTTACCGGTTCCCTCCTCCTCCCGCCCCCTCGGAGCCCCCTCCCTCGCCTTGGCCAGCCGGCATGCAGGTGTCTATCGCATGTACCGAGCAGAACCTTCGCAGCCGGAGCAGTGAGGACCGTCTGTGTGGACCCCGGCCGGGCCCCGGGGGCGGTAATGGCGGGCCGGTCGGCGGGGGGCATGGGAATCCTACGGGGGGAGGAGGGTCGGGCCCCAAGGCCCGGGCCGCAGTGGTCCCCCGACCCCCAGCGCCCGCTGGGGTCCTCCGAGAGAGCACCGGCCGAGGCACTGGCATGAAATACAGGTATGGGGGTGGCCGGGCAGCCCGCCACATCTGCTCCCCTTTCCTGACCCCTGAGGCTTCCTGGGATGCTTCCAGAACCCCCTCAAACTTCGCTAAGAAGATCCCGGCTCACTCCATCTCCTCTTCCCATCATTGGCACTCCCTTACTTGGGCCCTCTCTTGCTCTCCGTCCATACCCCCGACTAGTAGAAAATCAAGTTTACCAAGGTTGACCAGGCCTGTCAGACCCAGGGGATACTCCTAAGCTTCCCTCCTTACCCTCAGGAAGGCGAGGGATGCACGGATCTCCAGGCTGCACACCCCCACCCCCACCCCCCGGGATGAAGTGTCCTTGGGTCGTGTCCTGGGAAGATGGGGGAAGGAAACGGCTTCTCACCGTGGCCTGCTCAGTGTGCCTGACCCAGATACTGCCCCCACATGCCCCAAGGTCTCCTGCAACCTTCTTGGTGGGGAGGGAAGTGGGGCCCTTGGAAGGATGGACCACATCTCTCAAGCCCCTGCCGAAGGACAGGGGCCATGTGGGTAAGATGGACGGAAATGTAACCGACTTTATCTCAGAGAACCGCTGGGCTCTCAGGACTACCAGTAGGGGGGAGGGGAGGGGCTCCTGCTTGAGAGTGAGCAGAGGTCACTGATCTGACCTGGCTTTGTCACTTGAGGAATTTGATCCCCTCCATGTGGTGGCCCTGATTGGGAAGCTGAGCGGACGGCCTGGGTGGGGGGTCCTTGGGAGGAGCGTCTCTCTGGTTTGAAGACAGACTTCACAAGCCAACAGGAGCAGAGGGAGTAGAGAGGGGAAGAGGGGGAACTGGTCTTACATCTCATACTCTCCACCCAGGTGTCCTACCTGCTTTTGTTGGAGGCCTCCCTGCCTAGCCTATCCAAGGATCCTTGCCTGCCTGAGTGCCTGAACTTGACTTGGTTTACCCCTTCCACCCCAGCGTCTGCCCTTTAGCACAGCACTCTCTGATGATCTGTTTTCACAAACTCATCACAATTAGCCAGTCGCATTCCTCCCAGCCAACCCCCACCCTCGACTCTACACATCCCAGAGATGACTCAAATAAACACAAGACCCACCAGCAGAAACGCTAAGCAGGCAGCGCATCTTCAATGTGATAGGGGGGAACAGAGGCACTGGACAGTGGCTCCAGAGGAACAGTCATTATTTGTTCACTTATGCTATGGCCATAGCACTGCCCAATTCAGTGGGCTCACTGAGTCTAGCTTCTTTGGACTGAGACACCCTGAGGGCATCTCAGTCTGGAAGGAGAGGAACTGGAGGCTGATAATCTATGTTCCTAATGGAGGCTCTACCCCTTCCTTCTGCCTCTGTGTCCTGCAGGAACCTAGGAAAGTCTGGTCTTCGGGTATCCTGCCTTGGCCTAGGTGAGTTAGAAAGAAGAGGAATTAAGGGAAGGGGCGTTCTTTCATGGCTTGCCCCCACAGGTCTCACCTGCCTGGCTTCTCTCTTGCAGGTACCTGGGTCACATTTGGTTCTCAGATCTCAGATGAGGTATAAGTGATGGGACCTAGAAGCAGGGTGAGGGGGTATGAGAGAACCAAAAAGGGGGGAAATGGACTTGCATAGGGGTTTGGACAACAAGCATGGGGAACGGTGGACCTGAGGTTGGAGGATGGGGAAAGGGGAGTGAATGTGTAAACGAAGGTTGAGGTCTGATGGGCTAGAATGCCGTAAGGAAGGTAACTGAGAGGCTGGTTGCTGGTCTTCAACTTTTTCTCTCACCATCCTAGACAGCAGAGGATGTGCTGACAGTAGCCTATGAGCATGGCGTAAACCTGTTTGACACCACCGAAGTGTATGCAGCGGGAAAGTAAGGACTGGGGTGAAAGACTAAGTTACACTTGGAAGGCTGAGAGAATATCAGGGCTTTTTGGTTTCACCCCTAAAGAACCCTGGGAATTCTGCATCACTAAGTTCCAACCTTTCAGCCAATGGGGCCCCAAAGCATTATGGGAACTGTAGTCCCAACATCTGTCTCTCTCCAGCTTTGAGGGCAATGGGGCATACTGTGCAGTCAAAATGAAATAAAACAAACAACTATTTCCTGGACGTCATTTATGTGCAACTATGTGAGGATGACAAAGATAAATTTCAAACATACTATACCACAGCACACATGGCTTCACGCTGCAAATAGTAAAAACCTAGGATGACTACTCCTGCCTCTTCTTCTGGCAAACTCTTCTGCTTATCTTTAAGACTTGTCCCAGATGTCAACTCTTCCAAGAAGCCTTTGCCCAGCTCCCCAAAGTTGGTCACTATCCCCATCAGCTCCCAAAGCACTTTACACTACCCTCTGACACAGAGTTCATCAATTACTCGTTTACAAGGCCATATTCACTGCTCACCTGGGAGGCTCCTCCCTCCACAGAACTTGTCTTGCTCTTTCCCACGTCACCTAAGTACCTATGCAGAGCCTGTCACAGAGCAGGTATCTGATTGAAGGATGACATCAATATGCCCTCAAAAAGCTCACAGTCTAAGTGGTTAAACAAACAAACCAAAAGACAAGGAGATACGAAAGATTAAATAACAGTAACACTTCAGTAAGAGCCCACCATAACTTAAGACTTGTCACACATTAACTCATGATTAAGTGTCAGAAAATTGTGTAGCCAATAAGAGCTATGGAAGCTGACAAGGACTGACCATAGACTACAGCAATCAGAGAACATTTTCCATAGAATGAGGCAGAATCCAAGCTAAATTTTGGAGGACCAAGCTAAATTTTGGAGGATGGGTGGAACTTTGCAAAGACTAAAAGAAGGGGGAGGGCAATACAAATGGTTGGAACCAGACGAGGCAGTGTCCTCCCTGGCTCCACTATAGTTGGTCCCTCTTCTCTCATCCTATTCTATCCCTTCAGCACCCAGAACAGAGCTTGGTACACAGTGATGCACAGCTGACATTTGTTGAATGAATGAGTGAAAATGATACGACTAGAACCCTAGATTGGGAGCCCCTCTTACTTACTCTAGGATGGGGCTGACAGCCCAATGGCCTCCTCGTTTATGCTCCATTTTACAGGAGAGGAAATTAGTTGAAGGGAAAGGTGGGGAGGAAGGAAAGAAACTGATCCACTTTGGAGGGGTCAGTGCTTCTACACTGTCTTCCTTCCAGGGCTGAAAGAACCCTAGGCAACATCCTCAAGAGCAAAGGTTGGAGGTAAGACATGTTGGGTGGGTGGGGAGGGCCGGGAGGTTGCTGGGGACATGATCATCCAAAAATCCTTTTCTTGCCCGTTCTACCATTTCTCTTTCTTCCAGGAGATCAAGCTATGTCATCACCACCAAGATTTTTGGGGGAGGACAGTAAGTGGCTGCCTCACTATAATTGGGGAGATCTGCAGAGACTGTGTGAAGGTGCATGGGATGGGGGTGGGGACAGCAGTCCCTGCACCTGCTACCCCAGGTCTGCATCCTGCCTGTGAGGACCCCTGAAATACCAGTTCCTCATGATTCCAGGCCAGCCCTGGTCCCTTATCTTTGACACACCTCATCTCTGACTTACCTTTTCCTACAGGGCAGAAACTGAGCGAGGCTTGAGCCGCAAACACATCATTGAGGGTAAGAGTTAGGGGCTGGGAACTGGAGGTGGCTGGGTATGGAAGCCAGAGGAGTTGGGAACATTCTCTGAAGCTCTGAGTCTGAGGCTTTGAATAGGGAAGCCGGGATTTAGGTGGCCATGGCAAAAGGATAAGGTCTAAATTCTTAGGAAACTGAAGCTGAAGAGCTTACCTTCCTCGCCCCATGCTTTTATCCCAGGCTTGCGAGGATCCCTGGAACGCCTCCAGCTGGGATATGTGGACATCATCTTCGCCAATCGCTCAGACCCCAACAGTCCCATGGAGGGTAAAAGCAGCACCCCAACCCTGACAGCCCTTCAAAACTGAGCACTTCTAAAACCCTCAGCAGAAGCCAGCCCCTGCTCAGGAGGCCTCCCAAGCTCCACAGCAGAGGCTCAGACCCCAGGACTTGGACGGGGAGGGAGGTGAAAAGCAGATACCAACCCCTCCGACTCCACAGGGATGAGTGGGGCCTTGGTGGGGCAGGCAGAGGTCTGCACATCTGGAACCCAGGATGCCAGGGGTCTGACAGTGAGGCTCTCCCTCTCCTATGTGCCTAGAGATTGTGCGAGCCATGACCTATGTCATCAACCAGGGCCTGGCCCTATACTGGGGGACATCCCGATGGGGGGCTGCAGAAATCATGGTGAGTGTGCCACCCACCTCGCCGTCCTACAACTTGTTCCCACTTTTCACATGGCCACTCCAAACCCCACTCGACTGGAGGGGGGGGGGAGTGGAAGAAAATGGAAGGAGTGCTCTGACCCCCATCTTTTCCCCACCCCAACTCAGGAGGCCTACTCCATGGCCAGACAGTTCAACCTGATTCCTCCAGTGTGTGAACAAGCTGAGCACCATCTGTTTCAGAGAGAGAAGGTGGAGATGCAGCTGCCAGAGCTCTACCACAAGATTGGTTCGAAGTCCCCTCATCCCTACCTTTCCCTCGGCCTCACCATCACCTAGATCCCTTTCCCACATCCAATCCTCTTCCTCTTAGGTGTTGGCTCAGTCACCTGGTCCCCTCTTGCCTGTGGCCTCATCACTAGCAAGTATGATGGGCGAGTCCCAGATACCTGCAGGGTCAACATCAAGGTGAGATCTGGGGGCTCAGGACGGCAGGAGTGGACTATCTGAGGAGTCGTCTTTTGCTGATTCTCCTTGGCCTCCAGGGCTACCAGTGGCACAAAGACAAAGTGCAGAGTGAGGATGGCAAGAAGCAACAAGCCAAAGTCATGGACCTTCTCCCCATCGCTCACCAGCTGGGCTGCACCGTGGCGCAGCTTGCTATTGGTGAGACACTGCCAGCCCTGGACCCTGCAGAGGCCTTGTCTCCTCCTGAGATGCTACCAAACCGCAGACTGGTTTGTCTCTGGGGAGGACCCTCTTCCTCGGAGACACCTCTGAAGTCTGCGTGCTCACTCTTTCCGACCAGTTCTTTTTTATTTCCTTCTCTGGCCCAGCGTGGTGTCTCCGCAGTGAGGGTGTCAGCTCGGTCTTGCTGGGGGTGTCCAGTGCAGAGCAGCTGATTGAACACCTGGGCGCCCTGCAGGTGAGGGGGGAAGGGTGTGGGGGGGCAGTGGGGGGGGTGTCAGAGCCAGAGCCCATCTCTGTCCCCTGTCCCAGCACTCAAGCAAGGCCTTGCTGTCCAGCCCAGAATGGGCCTGTGAAGTCACCCACTACAATGTCCTCGCTTGGCAAATGAGAGGTCCCAGGGTGAGACGGTGAGGCAGGGGCACAGCTGCGACTCTTTCCCGGCCACCTGGCTTCGCTGTGCGGCTCCCCGGGTTTTCCAACCTCATTCCCTTGTTCAGCAAGCCTGCACCTCTCCACCACCCCATTCAATTGCAGGTGCTGAGTCAGCTGACCCCGCAAACGGTGATGGAGATAGAAGGGCTCCTGGGCCACAAACCTCATCTCAAGAAATAGTCCGTCGGGGGCGCAGGGACCCGCTCCCAGGACCGCTTCCCGCCCCCGCCTCCCTCCCGCTCCGGATCCCTCCCGCTCCGGATCCCTCCACGCAGCGGCCGGAGCCAGGGAGGCCCCGCCCACTAACGAGTTCCGGTCACAGTAGCGAAAGCATGAACAAAGCCATATCCTCCCGCAGTGGGGCTTGAGAGGGAAAGTAGTCCGCCGCCCCCTATTGCGTCCTCCTAGGTCTCCCTGCTAATCCTGGGCATGAGCTACTGGGCTGTCCCCTCTCTGCCACTTGGCCTCGCTCCCTTCTCTCTTCCCCTAATCGCCGAGGCCCAGGGGGAAAAAGGCAGATACAAGACCCATGCAGAGTACCTCAGAAGTGGCCCTTGAAATGTCATCAAGGGGTAACAACCTAATATGAAGGGAGTTTTGATGTCATCTGGGACAAAGGAGATGGGGCTCTTACATTCGTTACAAAGGAAGCCAGGCTGGTCCTGGCAGGAAGTAAATGATAATCTTTGGGAAACTAGGACCCTGCCTCAGCCAGGAGGTGGAGGAGGGCTTAAAACCACAAAAAGTGTTGAGACTTTGTTCTTGTCAGAGAGGGGTAGGGTGGGGAGTGCAGTGACAAAGCACTGATGAGGGAAAATTGACGGCCGATGTATAGCCTGTCCTGGCACAAGTGGCCAGGGAAGCCCTTGGAAAGTACGGTTGGGCCGCACTTTGCAGGAAAAGGTGACAGCCTTTAGGTCAGGGCAGAGAAATGGGGCTGACACAAAAAGGTCTGGGGATAAACTTTTGAGCCTTGAGCAGGACTCCTACCCGGGAGTGGAGGACTGTAGTCTTCCTCCTGGCAATAATCTTAAAGCAATAATGATGGCCCCTCTTGTGTAAGACTTCCCAGGGAACTGTAAATAAAATCTCAGCTTGATCATCACTTACCGCGTCTGAAATTGCTGGGGGCTGAGAGGTTAGGATCTCAGTCTCACGTATCTGGGCCTCTAGCACCCTGCCGTTAGAAAGGTCCAGCACTACCTGTCCACTGCTCCTTTACCTCAGTGACCCAGGCATCATGCTCCTAGTCACTGCTCTCATCAAGGACCCAGGCACCTGATCCTCCAGGCCACAGCTTTCTTCCCTAGAACCCACAGGCCGGGCTTCATAGCTTTGTTGCTCCTCCCTCTGATGCTCACTCTTACCCTTGTTTTGTTTTTTTGTGTTTTTTTTTTTGCGGTACGCGGGCCTCTCACTGTTGTGGCACGAACCTGCATCCCCTGAATCGGCAGGCGGGCTCTCAACCACTGCGCCACCAGGGAAGCCCCCTTGTTTTGTTTTGTAAGTTATATTAGCCATTCGTCTTGTTTCCCTCTTGCCTGATACCCACACATACGCCAATGAACTATCTAGGTGGTTTTCCTGTGGCTGAGGGGGAGGGGCTGTTCTGAGGTTGAGGCTTTGGGATTTGGGGAAGGAGAGGTAAAATGAAAACCGGTCTATGGTTGAAATGATACAGAGACAGGGAAAAGAAATAGTATAAAGAAAAAAAAGAAAACAAGTCAAAGATCAGGTGTGAGAGTGGTGGAAAAGCAGAAGCAAATGGGATTATGTCAGAGCCTTACCCTTATTCTTCCCCAAAGAACTCTGATTTCCCTGGGACACAAAGTGGGTGGAAAGTTATAACCTTTAAAGATCACAAGGCAGGGTAGGATGAGCTCTGCCTCCCTTAAAATATAACCTCACCGGGCTTCCCTGGTGGCGCAGTGGTGGAGAGTCCGCCTGCCGATGCAGGGGATGCAGGTTCATGCCCCGGTCCAGGAAGATCCCACATGCCGTGGACTGGCTAGGCTCGTGAGCCATGGCCGCTGAGCCTGCGTGTCCAGAGCCTGTGCTCTGCAACAGGAGAGGCCACAACAGTGAGAGGCCCGCGTACTGCAAAAAAAAAAAAAAATATATATATATATATATATATATATATATAAAACCTCACCATCTCCCTTCTTCCCATCCTCACCCTTCCTTGATCCCGAAGCTGGGAGAGTAGAATAAAACCAATTTTCAAAAGAGAGAAGTCAGCAGCATGCCATTTACTGGATTAGCAGCCAACCGCATCAACTAATGAATACTTACATCCACTCCTATCATCTCCCACTCATTTTGGAAGACTGTGGAGGAAACAAAGACATAAAAATGTGTGACCATTGTTAGTTATTCTGTAACGAACATACAAGAATTTATAAATTCAAAATAGTACTCTCCTTAAACAGTTACCTTGGAGGGCTGTGCACTTATTTTAATGATGCCTACCCCATGGCTCAAAACATTGAAAAAAGTCCTCTTAGAATTACCTTCAGAGGCAGTTAGAAACCCCTTGTAAGGAATCTTCCTTTATTGTCACACCTCGTTTACGATATATACATATATGTGTATATATATATATATACATATATATAATTTATTATTATTATTATTTTTGGCCGTGCTGCATGGCTTGCAGGATTTTAGTTCCCCCGGCAGGGAAAGAGTCCTAACCACTGGACAGCCAGGGAATTCCCTCGTTTACCATATTTATCACTCACCTCGTTCATTAATTTAACAAGTATTTATCTATTGAGTCCTACTATGGTACAGCACAGGGACACAGTGGTGAACAAAACCAGACTCAGAACAACCATTGTGAAGTTTACAGATGGGAAAGGCAAAGAAGTAACAAGTAACCCCCAAACACACACAAACTTTGGTTGTCCAAAGTCCAGAGGAAAGCACGTGGTGTTACCAGAGTCTACAGTGGGTATTTCACACAGTGAGGCTGCGTGGAGAGCTGAAGGTTGAGTGGGTGTTACTAAGGTGAAAGCAACAGGGTTTAAAAAAAAGAAAAGAAATGGGTGTTGGAAACGTTGGGTGCCAAGAAGTTAAAGTAAACACAACATAGGCTGGGTCACAGGATACTAACAACAGCTAATATATGGTGTGTTTACTGTGTGCCAAGTATCATTCTAAGCACCTTAGAATCAGTATATAAGCTGATTCAATCCTATTATCATCCACACGTTATAGATGAGGAAACCAAGTCCCAGAGAAGTTAAGTAACTTGCTCAAAGTGTCACAACTGGTAAGCGGGCTCTAGAGTCCGTGCTATGAACCTCCACAACAGAATCTGGACCGCAGGTCCAGGAGAGGAGGGTGAGGCTGCGGCTGGGGGATGGGTGTGGCACCGTGAGGGAATGTGGGCTGTGAGTACTGTGTCCTGTTTACCTGTAGCAGAAGTCACACCCCTGAGTCAGAGCTCAGGCTGGGCTGCGTTGCTGGAGCCATCATGGTGTGTGGGTGTCCAGGCCTGGCTACTCAGGAAGGATAGGATTCCCAGCATTCCTAAGGCCACGGTCCTGGAATCTAGGGCCCTCCTTAGGCTGAGATTTCACCTGGGAGTTGAGCAGTTTGAGAATAAAATTTGGGAAGCCACCCTTACAAGAACACAGGGAGGTCGTATATAACAAGGAAAATTGAGGGCAGCATCTGCTCAAACGCCCAGGAGCCCACTGAAGATTGGGCAGAATGGGCGGTGTCACTGGCTTACGAAGTACGTTTGGGTGGGTTGTGAAGGAGTGTGAGAAACCCTGTGCCAGTGGCTGAGGGCCCGGGCCCAGGGAGGGAACTGGGGATTTGCACACAGTAGAATTAAGGAACGCTGGCTCTGCGTGGGGGATAAAGGAAGCCATGGAGGGAGTGTGTGTGTGTGTGTGGGGGGCGTGCCGCGACTTCCCCTCCCCAGCCCTCGCACCGCGTGGCCCGCTCCCCTCGCTTCGCCATGGCTGGCATTCGGGGTCTCCCACCTCCACCGCCCCCACGCGTGCTGCCGCGGGGAGCGGCCTGACCGCCGCTTGACGCCTCAGGAGGGGCGGGGGTCTCACTATTAAAAGGGGCAACAGGCCTCGGCGCGGGCCCCAGAATAGGCCCGCTCCGTTAGCGACGCCCTCGAGTCCGCGGCGGGCACGATGCAGCTCCTGGTGAGGGTGCCGTCTCTTCCGGAGCGGGGCGAGATGGACTGCAACATCTGCTACCGGCCCTTCAACCTCGGGGACCGCGAGCCCCGCCGCCTCCCCGGGACGGCGCGCGCCCGCTGCGGCCACACGCTCTGCACCGCCTGTCAGCGCGAGTTGGCGGCGCGTGGCGACGGCGGCGGGGCGGCCGCGCGCGCAGTGAGTCTGCGCCACGTCGTCATGTGCCCCTTCTGTCGCACGCCCACCCTGCTCCCGCGCGGCAGGATCACTGAAGTCACTGTCAACCCGGACTTGTGGTCACGCTTGGAGGCAACAGAGCGGGCCGCGCACGAATCTAATGGGGCGGGTGGTCCGGTTCGGGAAAGCGGTGATGCGGCCGAGAGGCCGATGACTAGGAAACGGAGAGAAGGGGGCGGGACCTAGGAGCGCGGGATGGCGTGAGCTCCTGCGGCCCTGGGCCCGGGTGCTGGCACCCGCGCGCAGGTGGCGGCGGCCGCTGCCTAGCAACGGTGAGGGGCCGCCCGGGTAGGCAGTGGAGGGAGAGCGCCCCGGAACGCCGGTTCGGCTGCGCCCTTCCGCTGCCACTAATCCTCCTTCTTTCCCCCAGTGCTGTACTGTCCACAGATCAAGGACTCGGCCCACATGACCCGCTGCACGCTGTAACCGCGGAACCCTGAAGCTACGGCAGAAGAAAGGTGGGAGCTGCATTCTCGGGGCGCGCTGTACTACGAGGAACTGGTGCCAAGCCCACCCCCTGTCATGTCCTGGAGTGTCACGGATGAGGGAGGTGAGCCAAGGGCAGAAGGGAACGCCCTGGGAGGTGTTGATGCTGCGCTGGGGAGGCTCCTAGACGAATCGCCCCCATCTACCGACTGTGCCAGCCTTGCATATTCAGGATGGAATGGCCCTGGGAGGATAGAAACAAAGTCTACGTTCCCGTGGGAAGCAGACAATTTCCCTAGCTGTGACTTTGGCTTTTGTCCAGGGCAGCTCTGATGTGTGGGAGCAACAGGTCCCATTTTAGCAATTCTGTGTCAATGATTTGAAAGTTTAAAAAAGATGGAACGGGAGAGAAGAGGCTGATTTCCATGTCATATTAATCTCACTTCTCTAGCACCTAAGAGAACTGAGAAAAATAAACCGTACCCACCCTACTCCCTCCGCTGGTATGCCTACTAGTGTCCCCCTTCCCAGTACTGTGTTCCTAAAATTGTCAAGATGCATCCCCACCTATGAGATTAGGAGCCTCGCTTCATTTCAGAATCTCCCTTCAACCTGTTGGGGCAGGTATGACGACGTCCAGAGGGCATCTATCCGAGTCACCTCACTAGGGCCTGTCAAGGGGAGGAGGGAGAGCCATTTGGCTATGGCAGTGGATTGTAAACTTCTGATATTATTTTTACAGCCACAAGGAAACACTGTCACTACTGAAAAAAGATGCTCATCATACAATTTTAAACTTGTGTCCCATATTTAGACATCACCTATTTCAGGGCAGGGGTTCAATTTAAAAGTCCTGTTCGTATCTTGTGATCGTAGAGTTACAGTCAAGGACCAGCAGCATCGGCATGACTGGAGCTTGTTGGAAGTGCAAAATCTCAGGATTTCACTTCTGACTTACTGAATTAGACTCTGCATTTTAACAAGAATCCCAGGTGATCCATTTAAGTAAAAATTTAAGAAGCACTGGTCCAGGTCCTAGACTATGTTACATTTTCCCCTGAGTTAAAAAGGGGGAACTTATTAAGAATAAACCCCAATTTTTCTAACTATGTTTTTACCTTTTTCCTTTCGTTAAGTCTCAGCTTAAATATTCCCTCTTTGGGGAGGTCTTTCAATCTGGTGTAGCCCCCTCCCTCACCCTCTGTAATACAATGCCTTGTTTTATTTTTTCACTACTTTTATTTTCTGATATGTGTTTTGTTGGTGTCCTGCACTACAGTGTAAGCTCCATGATAGCAGTGACTAACTTGTGACTGTTGTATCTCCAAGGGCAACAGCAGTGTTTTTAACATGTACTCAATAAATGCTTGTTGGAATTACATTTTTTAATATAATAGCCTCAAAAATTGTCTGGTCTCTCAGCCTCTGAGAAGCTCTGGTAGTAAATACATGTCAAGCTGTAGTGTCCAGCGGTTCAAATCTTTGGCAAGCTATGCAGGTCTGACCCCCCACCCCCCAGCTCCTTTAAAATAAAAGTGTGCTTCTGCAACTGGGAACTGAACCTATGAAGCTGTAGTGACCTCTACTGACTCTTGGTAGAACTAAACAAGCTGAAGGTGGAAAGGACGATCAAAAGGATGAATGGAAGGCAGTTCTGAAACTTATCAGGCACCCCTCCCACTAAACTTCTGTCCAGTAATTCCTGCTATCTCTCTGATCTCAACCTGAGGCCTGTGGAGGTGTCCTGCTGTCACCCTCCATCTCCGCTGAGCTCATCACACTGGGGTGAGGGTTGGAAAAAGAGCCTTGGAGTTGTAGCTGATGATCCAACAAATAAAAATGAGAAAAAGGAAAAGTCACAAGATTTAAAAAAAGAGAGAAATGGGTAATAGGAAATGGCAGGAAGCAACACCCTTTCTTTCCTCATCCCTCCCCGAAACCAAAGAACTCCCCCACTCAAAAATAACAGAGCACACAGAAAGGAAAGTATAATTTATATGTACAACCAATAAACCTGATACAGAAGAGGGGACTGGGACAGACCAGGAGTGGGTGTGAAGAGACCGGGAAAGGAGCAGCAAGAAAGTGAAGGGGAGCGAAGAGCAAGTGGGGGGTTCGCCATGCAAACTGCCACTCTCCCCAGCCCCTCCTGGGGAGGAGGATGTGCCCATGTCTCCCCAGCCTGCCCTCCACTATTTTGCTCTGGTCCCAAAGGCAAGGTAGTCCCCTGACTAGGCCCCCTGCCTGACCCACTCAAGTTTAGTTCATATGCAGGTCTTCAGGAGGGAGGGTAGAAGTCCTCCAAGAACCTGAGCCCCAAAACTGGGGGCTCCCCCCACATCTGGCCCATTGTGTTCTCCACCACCCTTTCTAGGTTACCTGGGTCCCTAGGACAGATTGGGGAGCTCCTCTTTGGCTTAAGGGAGTATCACCCAAATATTACTCTCTTTGTAGGGGTGGTCCTTGGTCCCTAGGGAGGGGGGAAGATTCCCAACACAAGATGCCGGTACGCAGGAGGTAACTGAGCCAGTGAACGGCGCCTTTATTCTGAGGCTGAACAGCAATGGACTCCCTCCCTTGTTAACTGCTCCGCCCTCCATTTGGGGGGAGGTAGGGGAAGGAAACATGCAGCCGCCCCTCCTCTTCCCTTCCACCCTCCCAGGGCTCACTGTCACCCCTCTCTAAAGTCACCCTCCTCTCTTGAAAGCTCTTTTCCCCACCAAAGTCCCTAAAGGCCGGGCAAGGCTAACCCCCCACTTCTGCAAGAGATGGAGCTTACGCTGCAGGAATAAGAACTGGGGCGGCTCCACCTCTTTCCCCCCCCCACCACAGCCGCTCACTGGGAAGCTGTGTGTGCTGGGCAGTGGGGGGTACAGGTACTTGGAAGACCCTGCTGACCACCTCCCACCCAGACCTCTTCTCACCAGCACAGTCTTCAAAGCACGGTGGGAAAGGTGCACGGGGTGGAGAAGGACAAAGGGCCCTTCTTGAAGAGAGCTGTAGAGAGGGGCAAAGGGGCTCCTAGCCCAGCGGGGGCCCAAGGGGTGGGGAAGGCGGAGGACTGGCAGCAGGCCCCAGAGCCTGAGCTGGGGGTCGGCCTCGGGGACGGGGCCTGGGTGAAGGGCAGGCCTGGGATCCGGTCAGTCGTCTATACAGATCACCTCCCCGGCTCGGGGCTCCTTCCGATCCAGCCCGTCTGACACCAATGCCCCCACCATTTCCTTCTCCTTCTTCACCAGCACTGGAGGGCCGTTGGTGGCGGCTGTTTGGGAAGGGGGTAAGGAAGGGTCAGTCCCTCCTTCACTTCCCATTGTCAACTGCTTCCTGGCGACAGTACGTTCTTACTTCTAGGTCACCTCATGCCACATCCAATTTTCTAAGGTAGGGATGGGAAAAAATCTCTCTCTCTGAGATTCCCCACGGTACGCATGATGGAACACATGTTCCAACTTTCACCGGAACCCCCTTCCAATTTCATATTCTCTTTCTCTGAAGTAAACACCTGGAGGAGGCTCAGGTAGGTAGTACCAAGCCACAGAACCACTAAAACCCTAGATGAGGTTTTTGACGATGGGAATGGAAGAGAAGCTGAGAAAGGGATGGGAAAAACAAAGTCCAGAACCACTCCATTCCATAAAACACTGGATACTTCCAAGGAAATGAGATGGGCTGGACAGGTAAAAGGGTAGCTGAGCAGGGATGAAGCTTGGAAAAGGAAGAATGCAAGGAGCAGGAGGCAGGAAGTCACCAGCTGACCTGTGATGAAGGACCCTGCAGGCATCTGGCTGTAATTGGCGCCTGCGGCGGCCAGGGCCCCTACGGGTGCGGCGCTGAAGGCCGCCCCGTACCCCGGAGGTGTAGCGTACGGACCCGGGGGGAAGGCCTGGAAGAGAGAGCGAGCCCACATTAGAGGGTCCACAGTCTGAGAGGAAAGAAGCTGTCGGGGAGACATCATGGGCCAACTCCAGAACTACTGAGGGGTATCACACAGGCAGGGAGACTCAAGGCTGATGAGCGTGCTGGAGCAGGTCGTTGTTCCACACTGCACGGGGCTCTGAAGGAGGTGTTCATACGTGTGCAGGAGGAGTACCAACAGGGAAAACTGGAGTCGGGGGAAAGGGTTACCGGTGTGGGGTGAGGCTCCGTGCCCTTGCTGGCCAGCCGGCTGAGGATGCTGCGCTCGGACATCTGAAGGCGGGCTGCGATGGGGGGTATTCGGGACAGCGTGGCTGGCAGGCGGGTCACGTCCGCCTTCATGTCGCTCAGCAACTCCTCCAGCTGGTTCAGAACTGGGGCCCGGGCCACGGAGAAAGAAGGGCAAGAGAAAGACAGGGAAAGGGAGAGATGGAGCCAGGAA